ATATATATATATATATATGTAGGTGCTTCTCGACGAAAGCTTTCACCGTCTGTGATTGATAGAACCTTAATATCAAGCTTTTCATTCGTAGTCGCGGAATGGGATTAAAATTGATCGTAGAAACTAGAAGAACTATTACACCTGAAAATATATCTCAATCTTGTTCTAATTTCAAGAAACAGGCAAGATCTTTGTTTTGAGAATGTTTTCTTGTTTTTCGAACATTCGACAATGTTTCTTGCGAGACGAAATTTTGAATATTATTTTACCTTTCGTCGTCAAACTGCTTTTGGATTTTAACAAGAATATAAAACACGCTCTACTTAGGTTTCATTTCCTGAATTAGCTTCATAAAAATAAATTATGAATTATAAATAATTCATAAAAATAAATTATGAATTATAAATAATTCATAAAAATAAATTATAAATTATAAATAATAAATAATTAGCTTCATAAAAATAAATTATAAGTTATAAATAATAAATAAAAATAAATTATAAATTATAAATAATAAATAATTAGCTTCATGAAAATAAATTATAAATTATTAAATTATTATAAATTATTAAATTATTAAATTATTAAATTATTATAAATTATTAAATAAAATTACATAAACATTCTTGATTCATTCATTACCATGTAAATATCAATGTATCTGATGAGAAAATAAAATGATCGAACAAACAATTGAAGCTAGATGTTATAAAGATTCCAACATTCGCAGAAATTTAATATAAAAATAGACGTTAATATTATCTATATCTCATACACACAACTTATCAAATGTATCTGTTGTAAAAAGAAGTTATCGTTACAGTTATCAAATTCCGTATCACAATTGTAGTAAGTATACATCATGCTCATTAAATAAACACTCTGGGTCACGGATTGTGTGCTGCAATAATACATCATCATCATTAGAAGCAAGCAAACAGGAGAAACATATAATGAACATGTGAAATGAACGAACAACGTAGAACAACGTAGAAAATTGAAGCTACGAGAGTAATAACGATTTTCAACGCATGGCAGAAGAAAGTAGGTGATAGAAGCATAGGCGAGCATAGTCGAAGGTGTTAGTGATGTTGTAGGTGGGGATGATGTTGGCGGTACAAGTGGAGGAGGTTCAGTGTCGTTCTCAGTCTCATCCAGGCTGGAATCGCGGTGATGAACGCGTCTAAAATATAAAACTAGCAGTCGCGTTCGAACATCAAGAATCAATATACGTATATATAGTGAGTGAAACATTCCGACCGGGGGGTAGGACAGTGTGGTGTGTGGCGATTTAAATTAGCTGGAAAAGGTGACCACTCCTACTTACCATCGTCAGCTAAAGAAATCAATTTGCTATTATTTCGATTAACTAATAGCGATATATATTTAGCGATGCGGTAAACGGCAATTAAGAATTCCGTGAGAAACGCGTGAAGTTATGTAACGATAACGTATCAAGGTGTGTCCCGACCGATTCTCCCTCCCTGAACCGATTACTGTCAATCACCAAGAGTCAACGTCCCTTGTTATTAATAATCGACTATGGATTTCATTCATTCGATACGATTCCTTCTATCCGAGTGTCGGCGAACCAGATTATTTCGACGCTACTGGTCGTAATATCGTTGACGTAATGACCAAATATAAAAGCGGAGACAGAGACATCCCGAGAACAGATAACGAGCATCGCGTTGTTGCACTCTTTTCCACAATGCCAACTAAAACATACAGACGGGCGTTCACTTGGGTCGGAGAGAGATAAGAGGGAAACGAGTCCGTTTCGTCTTGTGTATCCGCGATCGCGTGCGTACTTTGTTATCGAATATAACGATGCAGTCGCACGCGAAATTCGCTTGGCAAGATTCCTAACCAAGTTGGAACCGCTTTCTACTAAAATAGAGGTCTCAGGCATCTTGTAAATTATAAAAGCAAAATTCACGACTTTTATATATATATATATATTTTTTTTTTCTTCTAATCATGTATATATGTAGAGAGACTATTCTTCAGATATTAAAAAGTAACTATCTATCTTAGTTTTAATCGTATAGTACTCGTTCATCAAAGAATACCTGTCTGTCCTAGTTCGTCATAATCTCGAAGCTAATTACAGTGAAATTCTTCGCTTCTGACTCGTACTTCAAAATTATTCATTATTAATTTCATTTCAAAACGAAGACGAGTAATTTCAGAAGGTCAACAATTCTTCACTAACTTTATTAGAAGAGAGAGAGAGAGAGAAAAAAAAAATCTAATCACTGAACAATTTAGAAGCGAAACAATTTAGAAAGCTGCTATTAACTTCGACGAGGCTTAGAATAATTAACGTTGCCATGCTCCACGAACATCCCACCTACCTACTTAATTTTATCAGACATTGTGTTCATCGCTGAACAGTATCTTGGACAGTATCGCTCGCACGATGGTTTTAATAGTCTGTCAATAATCGTTCGGCACAAGACTGTGTTGTTAGAATGGACCCCACGCCGGGTTTCATTTCGGCTGCAGCCAAGGGTGAAACGCAGTTTCAAAGATATATTGAGAAGGGTGACTGCGTGCTCCCGTTGAACGAGGAGATCGATATAACACATGCGCCCTACGGCACAGATTCCTCGCTGAAACCTCGCGTTCAACAGCTTTTCAGCTTGTACACAAACCACAGTGTTCCATGTTCCATTCTGTCGCCAGTCGGCTCGATATATTCCTCCTCGCGATAAATCCTCGTCTTGGCAAGTGTGAACTTTGTGAGTCTTATCAGTCGTATAAATCGATTGATCGTCGCTGATTCATTCGTTCAACCTGCGGAACGATGCAACAGTGATCACTTTTATTCGTTCTGTTCGGAGACATTACGCGTAATTAGGCTCGCTGCTTCGAGTATTATTGACACGGTGAGTTTGCACCTGAACGAGCAATATTGTTGTAATCGAGATAGTACGTAATGCTACATTGTTGGTGGATCGAGTTTGATCCTCCCCTTCATTCATACTTGCGGGAAATTAGTAAATATTTGGGGCGTAGCAGATTTTATAGTGGAAGTAATTGCGTTGTGATGTTATTAATAGATTACGGATTTTCATGCAAACTCGTGCTTTTGTAACTGTTAAATATAGAGGAGAATCCCTAAATAACGTTTCGTGTCGTATATTAAGCATCACGATCCATCGTCCTGGATTCTTCACTTTGATTCCACTTTAGAATCTTTATTTTAGATACGTATTTGATCCTTCATTTCTGATATTTTTTAACCTTCGATATTCTTCGCTTCGGATTATTCATTTTTTTTTCTTTGAATTTCTTACGTCAGATATTGCATATATAATTTTGCACATTGTACACAGCTTGTGTGGATTTTTCTTTCCAATTTCCCGCGAATGCACATTACGCCTTGCTGTAATTATTAATATTATTAAAAATAGTTTCTTTCGCAGAAAGATCCAGGGGAACAAAGGTCAGTGCCATTTGAAAATTTGCGTGTCAAATCAGAGTCACCTGAGTACATAAAATGCGTTCGTTCGACACCTGATCGGTATTACTCAATCGCTCCCCGCTTCCTGTTCCTTGCTAATTGTGCTAACACGAATGCTGTCGTAATCTCTATTTATAGTCATGAAATAACAACCTGTCTAGCTTAATGTTGGCCTTCCATCATTCGTACCGTTCCTACACGGGGAAAGACGATTGCGAGGAAAATTGTTTCAAATCTGACTGTGTCGCGATTGATTGCGCGTATCGATGCAATCGCGATTCATTGACGAAGTGTCAATGTCGTCTGACGTGAAATAAGATCAGGTTAAATTTTATTCAGGACCGAAAGCTAGTTTTTTTTTTTTTTATGAAATATTCTGTTTATATGAATTTGTGAATGTATAATTTATACAGAGTATCCCAATAATCGTGATGCAGTTTCATACCAGAAATTAAATTTATTCGTACGATGCTTTTTCGAGGAAGTCAAGTTTAAAAATTTAAATTTAACCAATCGAGTGCTTAAAGTTAGCAAAAATCTACAACTTTAGTATCGGGATGGTAAATTAAGAATACATTCATTTTTACATATTTATTCAATATATTGTAATAGATTATATTCTTTGAACCTTTAACAAGTCATTAAATTATTAATTATTAATTATTTTATTATTGAATATATATATACAATACACTGAACACTTAAAGTATATTAAATCTTGATATGTGAAAAACATTTTTTCATATTATGCTTCGAGAGAAGGTAAATACGAAATCTTCTTAAAAATAAAAAAAAAAAAGAAGACCTTAAATTCTATTCTATATTTTCCATGTATTTTTTCACATAGAACCGTCAATTGAATTTTGATCGCTAGGATATCCTGTGTAATTTTATAATGTAATAGAAGCTCATTGGTTTCCTATTTATAACTTTTAACTATAACTATTTATAACTTTTCGTTTATACATGTATAACAAGAATTCGTTTTCAAATAAATGAACAGAAGTGAAATTCTTGGGAAAAGATGCAATATGCAATATAATATAATTTCTTGACCGAATGGAACGCAAACGATCGATCTGATAGATATGAACAAGATTGTTCGCTAATTTTGAACGCGGGAATGTTTGTGGACAGCTGCTGATAAATTATGATTTTATTAGCTTCGCTAATATTAGCTCCGGTTTTCGATACTTCACCATTCGAGAGGAGCACTTGATGGCTTTTATTGGCTTTATATATTCGTGAAAATGTAAATCGTTAAATAAAAAGCGTAACATATAAATAGGAAAAGTTTTACAATTCAACTCAAGTTAAAATAAATTTGATAATAGATGGTGGAGGGATTTATGATTTAGCGGATGCAGAAAAGAGAGGGGAAGAAGCAAGTGCTTAATTAAAATTCAACGACACTTGATATTCAATCAAAGTGATCAACTCCGATCGAGGTTGATCATTTTTCGAGAACTCAACAAATATTTCGAAAATAACCAAAAAAAAAAAATCACAGTATCGTGAAATCATTCGAATTGAATAATTTAATAGAAAATAAAAATCGTGTAAATAAGATAGATTTCACACGTTACAGAGTGATTAAATAAATTAGCTTTAAAGACAGGTTTTTTGACCCCTTTATCTGGCTTCATTCTTTAAAAAAAAATCACTCAAAGTAAAATTTTTAAATTCTATGTTCAAAAAAAAAACAAAAAAAACAATCAGTTAAATTTAGCAGAAGACATTTCTCTATGCTACTAGGATATAGCAAATCTTCGATTGGTAATCAATTAAACGATGCACCAAGAGGTACAATTTTTTAAACGTCAAGCAGCTTGATTCTCATTATTTTTACAACAAGGCCTCCCAGTTGGAAGTCAGATAAAATTTATCAGAGAATATACTTCTCCTCGGGAACGTAGAAAGTAAAATAAGACCTGAAGTCGTATTCCATTGTAGCTTTGAATCCTTTATTCGCAACAAATGCCTCGAGACACAATACTGTTCAACCAAACCAATATGGAAGAGTATCCAACTATACCCAATAGTCAATCGACTCTCTCCTGTCCCGTCATTGAAATACCGTGGTGATTAACTTAATTGGGGAATATTGTTCGCAACTCGATGAGCATCTGGCAAAAAAGATTATTCCAAGACGAGGAATTGGCATCGATTTAACGAACAGAATTATCATTCGACAGGTGTTAATTAGCGGAGAGACAGGTTTTCATTGCCTACACATCCTACGTGAAGGAGGTTTACATAACTTATGTGTAATTTACGCCGATTAAAGGACACTATTCGATCGCTGATTAGCACGTACAGTGCCAATTTTATTGGATCGCCTACGGGAATTATGTCGAATCGATAGCTCACGTTACTTGACCTCAAAACGTCACCGATATGTCTACCTGGACGTTAATGGCGTGTAGATAAATTCAGCGTTTCTTTTACTCAAACTTGACCCTCATTCACTCACTTTCCATCGTACGATGCATCTTTAATGCCGGAACTACTAAATCGGTCGTTTTGGAGACTAAAAAAAAAAAAAAAAAAAAAAAAGAAGAAGAAGAAATTCAAACGTTTCTAAAAGATCTTCGGCTCGAATCATGAAAGATTTCTCAATATTTTTAGAGAAATTTGAATTTTGATAATTTTCGAGATTAAAGTCTTTTTCTTTCTCGAAAATTGCAAAAATGTATGTAAAATGTATTTTTGGTGGTCGAATTACCATGATGTTGAAGATTGAAGCTTTTCCTTTGTGACGACGCAGTTAGTGCACGATTTTTATTCACTATTTTATTTTTATTGACCATCAAACATTATAACGATGAAAATTCGAAAAATCTGCAAACTTCGTCTCGTTTAATCCTAATGCTCAACGTTCAACAAAAGGGCGAAGAAAAATCGTACATCAAGTTTCAGGGAGTCGTTGTAAAGGAAAAATTTCAATTTCAATTTCATTCGCACGTTTGAATTTATGTTCGAGAACTTTCTCAATCGCACGATGTGCATGATGTAAAAGTATCTTTCGAAAAGGAGCGAACTCACTACCATTAAAGTACATACTTCACGCTTTAAAATGAGGCCATGAGATTGTTACGTAATTTTTTTTCACAAAGTTAATTTAATTTAAAATATCAACAATTTTTCCATAATTATCTACATACAGGTATCTAAAAATGTTCGAATGTTTTTGTGTGCCCCGTGTATATTTAGACGGAGAATATAATTAACTTTAGTCCTTTAATTTCTTCATGTTGTGATATTTCAGGCGTAAACATGCAAGCCGAGAAGACGGACAATGAAACCGAGAAAGTAGAGAAAAACGACGCCCAGGCGGAGAAAAGTGAAGATGAAAAGAAAGAGGAAAAATCAGCGGAAGAAACTGTGGCTAACAAGGCAGCGAACTTGAAGATCGAAGATGAAACTGGAAACTCAACGCCTAGCAGTCCTGGCGCCGCTCCGTCTGGAAGCTTTCTGGCGAGTTTCAAAGCTTTCTCGAAATTCGGTGACCCAAAAAGCGATGGCAAGCTGATTACGTTGAGCCAGAGCGACAAGTGGATGAAACAGGCGAAGGTGATCGATGCAAAGAAGATCACTACTACTGATACAGGGATTTACTTTAAGAAACACAAGTATGAGAATTTTCATTGATTGATTCATCGTCAAACAGAAAGTAATAATCTAGTCAAAAATATTGACAAATCTTATAGTAGAGAAATACGGATGTAATAAATAATTTTATAAACATTTATAACAATTTTATACATCTAATAATATTTGTAGTAAATATTTATAAAATTGTTACATATTTTGTCGGAGGGATAATTTTATAGACATTTAAATTAGGATTAATTTAATTGAGATTTTAATTAAGTATGAAATTATGAGAAACGAAAAATAACTAACTAATTTCTATGGGAAATTGGATTTTGATTTTAGATCTACGAAATTGGGCATTGAACAGTACAAAGCGTTCTTGGAGGAACTGGCCAAAAGTAAAAAGGTCGATTTAGCAGAGATGAAAAAGAAAATGGCGAACTGTGGACCACCTGGAGTTAGCAGTGGCGCTGGAGGAGTAAGTATCACACACAAATACACACCTGTAGAAGTTTGTTCTATATAATTTACCTCTAAATTCACGATAAATATAGAGCATGGCCAGTTTCATAGTTCATGTTTTGATCGATCACAAACAAGTTTCTATCCCACGGTTTTACAAGTTAATCCAAAGTGGAGGTAGTTTGCCCATTTAATATTGCGACCTTGTCACTGTATCGACACTGACGATTTACGATGTCGCCAGATCTGACCTGTGAACATATAATTTTCAATGATCATGTATCTCAGATCGTCGCCTACATGTCACGATCATCGAGCAACCTTCGCGTTAATTAGATTCGTGTGTTTCAAATGTTTCTTAAGAATATCTCGAGAAAAATCCATCAGAAATTTTATCAGAGATTTTATCACGATTTTATCAGAGATACTTAACTTTTTTACGATCTATGTTGCGCATGAATGTTGTATTTTGAAATTAGCTAATCAGACTATAAATGGAATTCAGAACATTTGTCCTAGTTTAAATGAATTAATTATATCATCTTCGTCAGAAATAGTGTATTTCTTATATATTCGATAGGATATTGTACATTATGTATAATTTTGTTTCTATTTTTGCGATGCAAGCGAAAATGAAGCAGCTCGGAAACGTGATTTTCCAATTATCACTATAAAAATAGACAGTTCTTCATCAATTACGAAACTCTTGCTCATTGATCTCTGTAATTTGGCCGGTAAGAAGGAATTATGTTGCTCTTTCTGATTTCTGTGACATGCATTTTTTTTTATTACGAATTTTGTCTTTACTATCATTGTGAACAAATGCATGGCAATATAAGAAATGTATTACACTGACCTGAATTGTTTTTTTAATTAACATAAAATATATATAAAATTTGTTGCTCAAAACATACTTTTTTTGAATCGTATCACTTTCGTTGTAATACTATATTGAGCCGTTTATTTTGAATAAATTTAAAAATATTGGTAACTGACGATATGATAGTATAATGTTTATCTAAGACTCAACCCAAAAGTAAGATAAACATTGTTAAAAAAAATAACACGTTTTTGATGGCTATAAGTGAACTTAAGGTCACTTTCAAACTTAATGAAATAACTTTTTAAATTTTTAATTTTTAAAGGCAAAAGTCCCTTGAAAAAAATTATATTCCTTAAAATAAAAAAAAATATATATATATATATATACAATTTTATGTTATAAAATCAACAGCTCATATAAAAATACAACATATTAATAAAAACGTTGATATATACTCATATCTCATATAATACACGATTTTGTTTTTACCGAGAGAGAGAGAGATGAAAATTTTTTTCAATCGTCTCTTCGTATCATGAAACATCCATAAACCTACGTTCTCGCACATTTTCTTTTACTTTACAATTATTACTCTGTTGTTACAAGAATATTCTCTTGCAGACTGGGAAAGCGGCCTCCACAGTGGACAGACTGACGGACGTCAGCAAGTACACAGGCTCTCATAAACAGCGTTTCGACGAGAGTGGCAAAGGCAGAGGAATCGCCGGTCGAAAGGACCTGGCTGATCAGTCTGGCTACGTGCAGGGCTATCAAAACAAAGACACCTACAACAAAGCCCACTAGTTTGAGAGATTCGCGCGTTTCTGTGATGTCTTTCGACACTGTGTTGTCCCGTCCACGCACTTCACACGAAACGCCCACGTGTCGTCGCGTTCTTGTCTCGTCGAAGTCAGTCGCGTTCCTCGACCGGCGCACCTGATCCTCTTGTTGCAGCCTGTTGACACGCTGGCGACAATCGATGCAAGCAATCAATCGATGTGACACGCGATGCTCGGGCGAACGCGTTGGAAGCTCTCCTCGATGGCGATACCTTTCAGACGACCCAACGAAGAAACCAATCAAGTCAAGAATTTCGTTCTCGAGACTCGATTTTCTTCGTGGCGAGCAGCGATTCGAGGAGCTGGTGGTGGTTTCTTGGGCGATGGTCACGAGGTCACATAGGTCATAGATGATTCGACGAAGCGTTCTTGCAAGATAGTTCGTGAAACATCTGCGAGTCGAGCTGATTTTAACGAACAAGGCACATTCTTTTGTTACTAATCTCTTGGATACACATTCTCCATAGGAAACATCGTTCGAACTTCTGGTACTCTAAAGTTCGTACTTTAAAAAGCATCGTGCGCTTCGTTTGCTTTGCACTCCGTGACTTCGCTTTTTATTGGACTGGATTGATCTTAATCGATGCATTTCTCCGACGTTTTGTTTCCCCTTTGGAATCTAAAGCGTGGGCAATTTTGTTGTACCGATCTCTCGTTTGAATTGATCATTCAGTTGAAACGATAATACGAGAATGAAAGAAGATCTACAGTGGCTCAGGTATTGAAATTCTGTTTCTATTTTCGAACGATTGGAATTATGTGTATTTTAATTACGTACGATTTTAACTTAATATGACACACTCTCGTCTCGTTTCTCTTTAACGTATCGTACAAAAAGTCGGCACACTGACAGGGTCGCAAGTACAAATATTTTTTCCTTGTTTCTCAAACGAAGGCGTATTCAATCGAAAGTTCAAATGCTACCCGTGACACTTAAGCTTCGAAATTCTTTTTATACGCTACTCTACGATCGTATTTACATTACTTACATAGAAAGGATCGTATACATTATGGCAATATAGATTTACGCGAACACTAGTCAGAGTTAGTTAAACGGGAATTTTATGGAAACGACAAAATCGATGCTGCAGAGCAGACAATTTCTTCTATCAGGTTGAGTAATGAGGTTCATTCGCTCCTTATTTGAAAGAACGCATTTAGTGTGAAATCTTTCCGATCGATTTCACAATTTATTCATTCATTCATTTGCCTCTGTCTACGCAGTATTCACAGTTTTTATAATTTTCAGACGTCGTGAAATACACTTGCCAATGAGAGACGAACGAACTTGTTACTCAACACTTCTGTATTACGCGCGCTATATAATCTCTGCTATTCTCTCGGAGGATCACCGCTCGGGTTTTTGGTGAAAAGTTATTGTGAGAGCCCTCTTGCACAATGATCGACTAATTAATAATATTAGTAAACTGACAAGTCAAGTGAAATGAAGTGAAGTTAGGCAAGTCGTAGCTTCCTCGTTTCTTTTCTTTCTTAATTTTACAAAATGTTCCCCATATTACATTACATTATTATTGGACTGCACGTGACAAAGGCGAATATATGAAATGTACGAAGTAAAGGGCTTATTATAATTTTTATTAAACTTACCATAAAGTAAGTTAATCTCTATTTTAAATCTCTATCTCTCCAAGTGTGTGTCGATGTGAGTGGAAACTTGCGCAGAAAATTTAATGACTTGTAACTTGTGAAATTTTACTAATATTATTGATCCGATTGTGCCAGATCGCGCAACCGTATGGGCGTACAATGTTTGCAATCGACGCGTTGGAGTATACGATGGGATACGTGGTTGCGTTCAATGTGATCATGCGAAATATTTCGAGATATTTATGGTTATTCTTACGATATCTGCGTATGCGTACATTAATCGAATTAAAAAAGTGTACTTAAAAGATGAGACCGCCTGGCGCGCAATGGCGGCGAACTCGAGACCAAAATCTGTAAGTTTTCTGCCTCTCTCTAAATTCTATCTATCTTCCTTGGTACTAAATTCTCAATTACAAGATATTCAAGTGAAGCTCAGAAACGTGAAAACTCACCTTGTTTTCAATCAGCAGATACGACTGTGAAAGCGACAAGATACTTTTCTTTTTCCTTTAAGTTAACAATTTATTCCAGGATGCATCTTCAGTCAAATATTGAAGGAAAACGATTGTTCGTTTATTGCGTATAATATTTATGTTGCTTGTACTTTTCTTTCTGACATATTTTCTGCAACTTTGTTTTTACTTTCCAAAGAATTACATTCGCTTTCGCAACAGTGGCATCATCGTATCCGTAAAGCACTTTCGAGTTCTCTCTCTCTCTCTCTCTCTCTCTCTCTTTCTAATCGATGTACACTTTATTTAAGGGACAACGTACCTCGATGGATGCTCCCCTAATTTTAGGGGGCTTTTGATCATTCGAAACAATAAAGGCGAGTTGAACGAAAGGAAACTTTCTATTTTTATTAGTCTTATGCTTTCCTAGAATTCTTCGAACAAAATATCTTTATCAAGAACTAGAATTAGGATATTTGAATTAAGCTAATTTCAAGCAATTTGTCCGTCATTTACTATCAGTTTGAACCACTTTTCAAATACGTATGCAATATACAACGTGTCGCGCAAATTGTAGGATCACCGATTGAAGGATAATTCTGCATACAATAATTCATTCAACTAATACTCGAATTCGGCTACTTCCGTACTGAATAGCAGTGAATAATCCGATAAGAGAGTACTATCTACTTGCAAAAGAAAATAAGTGAAAACTGTAGACTATTTTGTACGACAAGTTTTGATTAAAGAATCTGAAATAATCTGTGAGGGGAGGAGTTTTCAACAAATGAATTCTTTTTCAATAAAAAGTTCGTTTATTTCGAACCTCTGTGCTCCAACGCAGAGATAAATAATATCGTAGTCTCAAGTCCATGCAACAGTGTTGCAGGCTTCGTCTAATGTAAATTCGTACACGATCGATCTGGCGATCGGATCGCAACGTGTTACAGAGGAATAGGTGTAATTAAATGCTTGGCAAGCGAGTGCGTTATAAATACGCCAGCGAGATCGTCGCGTGTGTCGTTTTTCACACGCGTGGAAAGAGGGCAGCCATTTTCAATCTGTTGGCTAAGTAACATACTTAAAACG